GGCTTTATTTTTTCTAGAAATAAGCAGAACGTTTCAGCACGCTATCCGACTGTATAGAAGCCGAGGTTTCGCGGTTGCACGCGATTTTCGAGGGGTTAGGTTGGTCGGCTGATAGAAAATTCAGACGGCGAAAAGTTTTCGCCCGTAGGATGAGACTAGGGAAAAGGAGGAAACGGTGAAACGACACTGCGAAAGCTACGCGACAGTTTGCTTATTTAAGCTCGGCTTAAGCAAAGCTCTCGAACTCGACGGAATGAGTAAAGGAGGACGGAATGGAAGGCTCGACGAGCGTTGCAGTTTGATCATCGTAAGATCGAACTTGCGACTTAACTGCGGGATATGCTTCAATGCGAGCAATTTCCGATTGGTATGCGCCCTACGAACGCGTTACACTCTCTATCCATCGCGTAAAGTGTAAACTGACCGTTCTGCGAATTGCAGATACAGCCAATGCTGTTTCAGCTTTCCACGTGAAAGACGTCGTACATGTTTCGTTTGCGTTGAAGCACGCTTTCCGATCAGAAGTCTCGAGATGATATACCGATTCGTTTTAAAATCAGGGTTACGCCTGTTCGCGCATCAGAGGAAGGCACATCTCCTATAAGCTTAAAAATCACAGGGGTGAGGGTAATCGTGCGTTCGCACCGCCCAATTCTTTTCCAATAGGTCTACTGCCCGACGAAATACGCGAACGGAATGAGACGCTGTGATATTCGATATCCCTGTCTTACTTTGTATTATTTCTTCACGCAGCGGACCTATTAGAAAAGAATTGGGCGGTGCGAATGCCCGGTTACCCTTACTCCTGTGACTTTTTAACTTATTGGAGCTGTGCCTTCTTACCTATGCCAAACCTCTGCGACAAAGGATGAGTCGACGATACCGAAAACTACGTAAAGTACGCCCTATCAAAATAGATTAACAAGAATTTCGCTCCTCTCGAACGCAAGATCGTTTTAATGAAACACGTCGTAGAAACAGAGAAGAATTTATTTTCCACTCGAAATCAAGTTTCAAAGTTGTTCCGTTCTTTCCAGAGGAAGATTTCGGATTACCTGGGGTTAGGATCGTCTGCTCGGAATAAATTTCCTGCCGGTACACCGTTGCTAAATTAGAAACCTCAAAAGAGACGTTGCTACTTGTACATGTCGTCTTTATGAAATTTCCTACCCAACTTTCTTCTCGTTCCGTGCCTTGTCGCCACTGCGAAACAAGAACAGTTGCGGAAAACGAAACCGTGTGCGTTCGAAACTTTGCGACTGTCTTCTCGGATATACGAGCACTCGAAGGAACCGGCACGTTTTTCTCCTTCGCGGCATGATTTCGCGACAGGTTTGCTCCTCTCCGTCTCTATCTATCGCGTCTGACCATTTTTTTTCTTCACCGTGAAAATGGATTTTCTCAATTTCGTCACGCTTCTCTTTTTTCCATCCATTATAGCGAGCCGACGAAACCGGTGGAAAGATAAACAGAGCACGGTTAATGTATTCGAGAACGTGGAAATTACAGTTCCTTAGTTTACTCAAGCGCGTTCTCTTTGCTCACGACGGTAAGGTATCTTTGTACGATAACTAGGATCGTTAGGAGATTCTCCCGTCACGCGTACAACCATTTCCGCGAAAAATGATCGTCGCAGTAACGAGCCGATTGAATCGAGCCACGCTTCTGACTGTATTATCTAATTTACTTTAATTTATCTCAAATAACCGATAAATCTTGGGGAATAACGTATAATAACACAGTTCTGACGATCATAAATATATGTAAAGAAAAGAAAACTCGATAAGAGTTTATCGCAATCATTACAAGTTCATGAACAGTAACGTAACACATTGATCAACACACTGACCATCGCAATAACTGTCGCAAGTGTTAAATAATACTTTAATAACTGTTATTAAGTACAATACGACCATTTCACTTTTCGACTCCATTAAGTTAAACTATTGACGATTTCGGTTAAACAGCACGAAATTAACACGTGACAGCTAGATTATTTGATCAATCCCCGAGGAAAAGGCCATAACCTATCGGATAATTATCAGATTCGAGAGACGCCTGATGCATGTATCGCCTATGTCTGCACGAGTTGTTCAATTATGCGCGGCAATAATATTAAACGCAGAATACATGGATTTACGTAATCCATTCGAAAAGGGATAGGCTAGCAGCGTCGTTTAATGACAGATTATCCGTCGAACGAGATGCGATCGAACTCGCAGTTTTTATATGATGTCATCGGCATTTTCCACGAGAGAGTCGAGTTTAAAAGACAACTTATGTTATCGGCGCATCGCGTATTCGACGATGTTCCGTAGAGTAGGCTATAGGGAAAAAATAAAGAATAACCATGGGTTATTTGTAGTAGCCAGGCTGCGTCAACCGAGTCGCCTTAATACTCGTAACGTGCTTCGGTAAAGCGGACGAGCAGCGTGTAAAATACGGATGAGACCCGTATAGCCATACTCGATACGACGATACGATCCTATACTCACTGCGACCACCTATTCCTTTTTGCCAAACAGCTTCGTCATATGCAACGTAAAACGTTCTAATCTCACGATAACAGTAAGACATTTTTCTTCGTTATCGCTGAATGTCACAGTCAATACGAATTCATTGTCTAAAGTTATGTATAGTACATGCGTAGATATCGTTAAAAGTACTTTTCGAGCAATATTTCGCAACTAACTTTTACCACTTTGCATGCCTTTAATAACGTTAATATAATAGCATTGCCAAATAATTACAAAGAGAGAAATGTTGAGTGCTCACAGACGCGAACAGCAGTCGGAGAGTTAACGAGCTCTGCCGACAAGATGAATCGAAATAAAGATTAGCCGTACTTTCTTTTTTCAAGCTTTACTTTGTCGCATTTTTATGCAAATTCGACTAGGAAAATTTTCCAAGTAATTCGTAATGCTTTTATCGCATCGTTTATACTTTTTTTGAAAACCGTGAAGTATAAAAACATCGTTCTTGGTAGACGCCTGACGAGTTGAAAGAAACCGAAGAAGCGAAAGCATTCGAACGTTCTCCGTCAGTAGATGAAGCATAAGGCATTCAAGCTACTAGGTATTTAATAATTCTTCTGATTTAGTATCTATTTAGAAATTTGATCGAACCGAATAAAATCGTGGGTGTAAAGAGAAGCAGCGAGGGCGAGACGGAAGGAAATTCACGGAAACGCGATTCGTTGGCCTGTAAAATCCGCGCCTCGCCATGCAAATTCCCCAAGATTTATTATCGACAGTTATTACCGCGATTAATTGTTTTCTCATCAGAACGGCAGGTATAGTTTCATCGATGCGTCAGCCAATCGAACGATTATCGTTCGAATGGCAACGCAAAATCGTGCCGTATCGATTCCCCTGAACAGAGTTCCCGGTTTCGTCGAGCCAGCAAGTCCCGGGAAGAAACACAATGGCAAGTGTATCCCTGTCGACGAAACGGAAATACCTTCTGCAAACAGTGCGTCCGTCATCGAACCGTGAAATCATCGGTCTCGAAAAAGCAACGATCGTGTCATTCGTCGAGATGATGTAGCTACATGGTTTCGCGAGGATCCGTGTATGTAGCAAAAATGAAATAGCAGCCTAGTCGGTTTCGTTGGCAGGAAAAGCCCGCTTATTGCGTCCCCGCGGAGGGAAGATTAATGAAGGTATTAATGGATGGTAACTCGAAGGGAATTCTTCCACCGCCTCAGGCGAAAACTTTTCCCTTCTCGCGGAATGCTGTTACCGAGACTAGATTGGTAGCATCGCGTCGCGTTAGGGAACAGAAAATTTCTTGACGAGTAAGCGAAGTTTATTTTCGAACGAAAAGTTCGAGTTATCGGTGAAATCAGGTGAAAATAAAAAATAGAGGTAAATTGCAATTTGAAAAACCGGAAGAAAACGCTACGAGGTTACAAAGAAGGCTTCAATTTCGCGCGTCATCGGTTACGTCGCCTTGTTACGTCGATCCATAGGTCGTGGAAACAAACACCGTGGCGAATTACCGGGTCCGGTAAGAAAATCATTGCGACCGCGTTGAAAGTGCTCGTTCCACCCTCTTCCGCTTCGCTGCGAGCCACCGCTTGCAGTCCTCTTCCCGTGTCCCGGTTTAGCCGCGGAGACACGCTCTCGCTCTCGTTGAAAAGGCGCGAGATAAAATTTATTGGAGGCGTTCGTCGGCCAGCTCGTTCGCGGTAGTTGCGACAACCGGAAAAAAGCCGGAACTTCCATTGTCCGTGCGCCGAGTTCCCCCCGCGAAATATGATTTTTGTTCAACCGAGTGTACGCAACGCCGCGGCGCGCCTCGAACAATGCGGATTCACGGATCTACGACGACATATAGCCGGGAGGATTCTTTGGTTCGTTTGCGTGAAAAACCGTTTGCCAATTAACGCGACTCGACGGAAGACGACGAATCGTTCGAGCGATCAGGCACCATGGTTGTTTCGGTTAACCGCGACAAATCGCTGCTCACCGATCCGAAACTCTGACAAGGATGTCGCAACGTTATCGTAAATCTCGTTGAAACCGTCTCACACGCTGATACTATTTTCAATAACATTTATCAATCGTTAAGCTTATCGTATACAATTTGCATTTGCGTAATCGGTGTAACCGAGGAATGGGACCATGCGATAAGTATGACGATGATTGTACACGATATTTTTCAAGCTTATTATCCTACGATATATCGTAAAATCCTACAATTATAGCTAATCGATTAACGGACGGGAGAATAAAAATACCTTGACAGAGATTGATAGTTGCGATAACTGTTCGAACGAACGAACATCTTCACCACGACGGAAAGTACGCAAAGACGCGATGATCTTGACCTTCGGACGATCGTCGAATCGGAAAAACCGTCGAAAATGGTTGAAAGATTTTCCAGAGGGAGTCGAATCTCGTGGCTTCGGTGGGAAAGGACAACGTGTTCGGGTGGGAGATGAATTATAAAGAGAGGTCCCACGGTGAGAGGTTTTACAGTTACAGTTTCACCGCATGCACCTACGAAGCTAAGTCGTTCGTGGAAGTTTTTGTCGAACCACGCGTTTCTTGTGTCCACCAGTGAAGTGGTTTTGATTTTTGCTTCATCGTTTAATATTTTTCGTGATACGTCGCGAAATTCTTCATTTACGTTTTTAAGGTACGCGATCTTATGGCGATAACAGATGCAACTGGTGAAAAGTGAGATTAAAATCAATTCGAATCCGATAATCGAGATCTCATCAAACGGATCAGATATCAATTTTTAATGTATTGCCTCGAATTAAATACTATCATTTGTTATGATCTATAAGTGTACTTTTGACCTGGATTTCTCTTTACATCATAGTGCAAATAATGTTAGGAAGTTCGTTGTGGTTTTTTCTCTTTTAAATATCTACATTTCACAAACTTCAATTATATAAATGAACCTAAATCCATCGGTTGTAATACCATAAAACTCGTCGAGGAGGTGTTATGCCCTCGATCTCGGTTTCTTGCCGTGCAGAGAGGCTTGCGGGAAAATTGAACAATGAAATATTACTAAATCGTAATTACCACTGTACTCGTTGCTTTTCACCAAGCAGCTTAACGATTAAATGATGATTGCTGCATTTGAAACAATCGCGTTCGAATAATTATCATTTTCGCGCGGAACTTTTTTCCTTTATTTTACTTCACCAAACACTAATTCCCACGGGGAACTCGAGGAAAGTTCAACCGTATTAATTGAAAGTAAATTAATTAACACGACCAGTAAGTTAAATGCGAATTAATTCGACGTTATCTGTAATTAATACTCGAATATTCTTTACGTAAACGACGGCTCGTTTCCTTCATGGGGCAAAAGGAAATCATGAACGATTACGATAGTCGAGGGGTCGAAATGAAGTTTTGAACAAAGTTTTGCATGTCCGTTTTCGATTCGCGTTAATGATTTTTCAAGGACGCTATACGTATAATGGCCAAGTTGAATTGTCTAGTTACAGGATGTCGTACAACGCGTCGACAATGTCACCGTGTTCTCAACCCTACTTGGGTCCGAACCTCGCACAGACGTGTCCTGGTTCACAGTTCCTCACCTTTATGACCCTGTTGGACACGTTTGTACGTGCAAAGGAAGAAATTTCTCAACTCTGCGAACGAGTGAGACCGATCGATCCACCGGAATACTATTACGATTTCATCGTGATCGGAGGTGAGTAAGCACACGTTCGATAATTCGATTCTCATCTTATTGTACGATCGATGCTCGAATGAAACTTTCATACGTTTCGTTTAAAATACCATAATGAAAGTAAATATCTAGTCGTTGAATGATTTAACCAGGATCTTTTGTGTCGGTGCCCAGTGCGATTAATTATTAACGCCACTTTCTCATCGTTCAGATGCAAACAAGCTAATATAATAATACGCTCTAATGGAAGAAGAACTTCCATTGTAGGTAACGGGAATTATTCAACGATATCCGTGAACATTAATTTCACGCTGCTCGTTAAAATTACAACGGTTACCCGACGTCGTTCACGGAATAACTGAAATTTTACCTGGCGCATCCGTGTTCCCACGATAAGGTTATTCATCGTTCCGTGAAAATTCATCGACCGATGAGGAAAAAGAACAATGCTTCACGGAGCTGGAAAAACTGACACTTATTTCTCTATCAGCTTCGGTATACGAACAAATGCTCATTATACCGTCTAATGTTTTATCAACTCTTCCTACTCGACGTTAGTACAATGTATATTACTATGGTCTATAGACGATCGAACAGGCGAGCTTTTCCTCTACGAGAAAAGGCTATATTGAGGAAGGAGAAATGTGCGGTGAAGCCACGTTTAATTTTTAAACTCAAATCGCTTCTCTGTCTCATTGTCAACAACTTATCATTTTAGAGGTAAAAGGTAGATAAGTAGATCGTTTGAACGATTATACGTAATTCTCCTCTAAAAGTTATGGACAAGCAGAAACGGTCAAACCTCGTCACGTGGAAACGGAACGAGACACATTTTCAATCTCAGTAAACGGCGTTTATGCGTACGCGATGATCAAACAGAATTATCGCGAATCGAAGCGTTCCAATGGAGCTGGTCCGATCGTAATTCGTCGATTATCACTACCGTGGGAATGGCGAAAACGCGATTCGATAGGTCGAAACCGTTCAGTCGAGATATTAACGCATCCGTATTAACCTATCTCGGAGCTTGACACAGCGTCAAGAATTTTTTTCAGAACATTAACGCTGGTTATAAGTTGACAATTTAGGTAATATCGATTCAATAACCTACTTGTCCCAGCTCGTAAGCGCAATGCGGTTAATTTGAAAAAAAAAAAAAAATATGCTTATCGATAATCGAAGAAATGGAGGATCGAATGACAGTTATTGGAATGGCGAATATAGCGGTCTCGGTCGACGACAACTGTGAAATATCCATTTCGCTAGGCCGCGCAACGCGAAATATTTTATGGTCCGGCGAGTTTGCATTTGCATAATCTCGCCGAATATTCAGCGTATCGCGCGATGAAAACGTTATTTGCCCGGTGACACTTTCCTCGATTATACACAGTTTTTCGCACTCCTTTTTGCCGCCGGGCATCGAGCAAATTAGTGTGAAATTTCTGTTGTTCGTGCGAGCTCATTCGAAACTGAATCATCATTTCGTGATTGCGTTTACGTCACTGATACAGCTCGCACGAAACAATCATGAAATAATACGGTTCGATGTTAGTCAAATTCTATTAGCAATCGACTTTTTGACCTTTCATCGCGTGGATCTTTTGATTACTTTACCAATAAATACATAGGTACTTACGTATTTTGAAAACGTTCCAATTTAGGTTAGGTTGTTCAGCGTTGACACGAATCTGACAGAAAAAAATCGCACATTCTATTAGCAATTGACTTTTCGACCTGTCATCGCGTCAATCTTTTGATTACTTTACCAATAGGTACTTACGTATTTTGTAAACGTTCCAATTTAGGTTATGCTGTTCAGAGTTGACACGAAACCGCCAAAAAAAAATCGCACTATTTCACTAACGATAGTATACACTCTGTTTCTATATCGCGTTTATTTGAAGACGATTTTATACTCTATACAACGAGACGAGACGGTAAATGAATAAAATTCACATGCTCGAAGCAGGCCCAGCTCACAGTACACAAATCTCGACCGAAACGTTTGAAGAACTGATACCAACTGTAGTGAGCTCCGCCCTGCGTCGAGTGCGTGAATTTGTAAACATATCCTGACTCGTCTCGTTAGACGGATTATAGAGCAAGAATAAACATCCTCTATACGAAAATCATAAAGTTAAACTGGCATTGACCGAACGTATGAATATCGTCGAAGCAATTGTCGAGTAGAGATGAATGCCAGCTATAAAATCGTCGAGTGGAATAACCATCTCATGAAACAACGTAAATAACGTAACGTCGTACCTTGTACGATAACCAACGCGCAGTTTCGTCGTCGTTTCGACGCGGAGGAAAGCGGAATTCACAGAGTGTATATCGAAATACGTTTACCTATAACTGGAATCGACCTCAGTCCGGCTCGAGCCTCGGCTGGTTATAAAACTGTCGGAGCAAATCGTGGAAAATCGAGAAAAATTCGAGGAAAATGAAGGATAACCGTGCTAGAGAGTTTTCGATTCTATGATCGATCCATCGAACCGCTTGTTTCGGCAACTACGTATGAAATGGATCGATGCGCGCGCAGGTATAGTTACACAACTGCGTCGATCGTTTTTTGTCCAAGCAAAGCTATATTCACGCCACCGATCTACTTCGTTTTCGGAAAATCGCTTAGAAAATTGCATAGAAAACCTGGCGAAGGAAACAGGGAACTTTCGGTTTTTCTTTCTTCCTGAATCTTAACAATTACTTACAAAACGTCAAATTATATTCAGAATAGATATAATGAGAATGACCCTTAAAAGGGTGTAGCGGCGATCAGTTTTGATGCGACCTGAACGCATCGATATGTACATATAGCTCGTTCGTTCAAATTTAATGATTTAATTAATCATATTTTTGCTGGTATTAAACGAAACGCAGAATTTACAATGGACCAATGAGGAGTATTCTGCACGAAGATAAACAAATATAGGTACATACCAAGAGTTTTTCGAAACGTGCATGTTCCATCGGTCGTGCTTGCACAACGCGATATGAAATATCGAATCGTTATAAATATTAAACATTGCGAATATTCTACTAGCCTTTTTTTTCGGACAGAAACGTTTGATAACTGAGGTTTAAACGTTTCATGAAGTATAAAGTAAAGTGTTTCAGAGTTTCATAGTTTCATATTGAACTATCCGGCGTTTGCATTAAAATTCAATTTGATATATATATTTATTTTTCCACGAGTCAAGATAACAGACCTAAGTAAATTGCTTAGGTTTCTGGACGCGTTATCGCTTGCCAAAGGAATACTCGTGTATTAATAATATATAATCGTTTTCCTCGTTGCATAATGATAATGATAAACGATTTGCGTTACAAATAATATAATATTATCACGTTCGCGAAACGTTTCATCTGCCTAAAACAATTGCATCGTCGTGTACCAGCTGTCGATGAAAATATAGGTATTTGGTGCGTTAAAAATGAATGCAACGGACGTTATGTACGTATCACGGAAGCGTACGCGTTCCTTTTCACCAAAGAAAGTACGATTCCGTGCTTTACCGTCATTCTTACTACTTCATTCTTCCACTTTCCTTCTTCCGGGCACGCGCAAACATAAACAAATTACGCGTACAAACGGATATTCTATGGTTGACGGGGTAGATAAAATTTTACAAAATATTTACGAAGACCTTTGAGCAGTGATACACGTAAACTTATGCATCACGTGTAAACGAATGTGAAACACGTTCCGCGTAACACAGCAGTACGGAAAACATAAACGTGCACGCATGGTATAATTACTTTTACCTGTTGGCACACCATGGCCAAGGCCTCGCCGAGCCGCTTTCTAGTCCGTTTTACGCCAGACTAACTCGCGACCGGTACATCGGGCAAGCTTCTCTCTAGATATTCCATCAAAGGTGTACCTCTCCTAATTAGACGAACGACGACATTAGCCGGAAGCATTTCATTTGACTATAGTACCTTCTGGTTGCCAATTATTTCAACCGTTTCCACGTTTTCCCGTAGGAGGAACAGCCGGTTCTGTGGTCGCATCTAGGCTCAGCGATATCGCGGAATGGAAAGTTTTGCTACTAGAAGCTGGCCCCGACGAACCGCCGGGCGCTGATATTCCCAGCATGGTGGCAATGTTTCTAGGTAAGTTTGTCATGTGTACTTATTTCTCTCATAATTAACCGTTCGCTCAACACGGAAAACAGAAGTTGGTTTACTTTCGCTCGACTAGGTAGCGAGATTGATTGGCAGTATCGAACCGTAAACGAAATGAACGCCTGTCTGTCGACCGGAAGATCGTGCAGTTGGCCACGGGGTAAGAATCTCGGTGGTACTTCCGTTCACAACGGCATGATGTACACCAGAGGGCACGCGAAGGATTATAATAATTGGGCAGCTATGGGCAACGAGGGATGGTCGTGGGAAGAGGTAAGGGAAGATTAAAAAAAAATTGAAATTGGAATAAAAGATTGATCCTCATCACTGATATCCTTGATAGTTCATAGCCTATACATACTGTCGGGGAAGAAAATAGCCTGCCGTATCAGGCATGCCTGTATCTACTGCAAGTAGTTTCAACTACTCCGTGTCGAGGTATTCGGACAGTGGACATTCTTTTCTCCGAATAAATCTCGAATTTTCCTGCTGATTGCTGTCTATAAAAGAAACGTAACCGAACAGGCGCACACGCGCGTATATCGCGAATCGGCACGAAAGTGTTACGAAAATCGAGTCGCGTGTTGTTAACGAGACCGATTTGCCAATCCGTCAGTCTGATTCACGTTAATAACCCCGCTGGAACAGCGACACGACACTGTTGTTCTTTTTGCTACTCCGTTGACAGGTATTGCCGTATTTCATGTGTTCGGAGAACAACACGGAGATCAATCGAGTTGGTCGTAAATATCATTCGACCGACGGTTTACTCAACGTAGAGAGGTTTCCTTGGAGACCGAACATAGCTAACGACATTTTGGCAGCGGCTGCTGAAAGAGGCTATCCGATCACGGAGGATCACAATGGCGATCAGTTCGTTGGTTTCACGATTGCCCAAACGATGAGCAAGAACGGGGTCAGACAGAGCACCGCGACCGCTTTTCTTCGACCGATTCGTCAGAGAAGAAACCTTCAGATCGCTCTGAACGCGACCGCTACCAAGATTCTTGTAGACAATTTGAAAGCTACAGGAGTTCAATTCTATCAAGTGAGTACCAGCGAATCACCTGACCCGATCAGATAACTTTGTTTCCGGTATTATTATTACGTTGATACGATACTTGCTTCTATATCTATACCTTTCATTTTTTTACGAGTTTCGTTGAATTCATTACCATGATTTTTTTTCATCTATTCTTCTATTATACACTCTCCTTTCTACGCTTTTTATTTAGGTATATCGGTTAACTTCAATATCGATTGCAAACGTTAATTACCCATTCTTCCGTCAAATCTAACGTGTCAATTAAAATTATTTGCACGAACGAATTTTTAGGACGGTGAACTTCGAGTAGCACGAGCTTCCCGCGAAATAATTGTTTCCGGCGGTGCGGTTAACTCCCCTCAGCTTCTACTGCTTTCCGGCATTGGACCAAAGGAACATTTACAGGCGGTGAACGTGAGCGTGGTCAAAGATCTGCCAGGCAAGCAAAACGAATAAGTTAATTAAACGAGTATTTCAAAGTATCGAATAAAATTCATCCTTTTCTCTCTGGTCAGGCGTCGGAGAGAATCTACAAAATCACGTGTCGTATACGTTATCCTGGACTATAAATCAGCCAAACGAATTTGATTTGAACTGGGCCGCGGCTCTGGAGTACGTATCTTTTCAAAGAGGACCAATGTCGTCCACGGGTCTAGCTCAATTAACCGGAATCCTTCCCTCGATCTACACGACTCCTGACCATCCGGATCTTCAGCTTTTCTTCGGCGGTTATCAGGCGTCCTGCGCTGCTACCGGAGAAATAGGGGCTCTCATGGACGGTGGACGTCGTAGCATAAGCATATCACCGACGAATGTACAACCACGCAGTAGAGGTACAATAGTGTTTCATCATTTTGTCATTTCTATTCGATTTTGAACGTTATGAGATCTCGAGAAATCAGCGGTGTCGACACATTTCTTCAAATATACAAACACACCTTCTGACGTGACTCTAATTGTTTCCTATGTACAAACAAAAGGTCGTTACGTAAATTTAAGTGCAACGATAAAAACACAATCTATCTTCCTCGTTTTAACTCTGACAGTTGTAATACAACAACGGTTAATTCCTCGAATATCTAGCCGTTTCACAAAGTGTCGCTAACCGATTGCTATCTCTACAGAACAATTCAAAGTACTCAACGGTACGGTATGTTTCTGTATCAGGAACGCTGCGTTTGGCCAGCAACGATCCTCTCGCGAAGCCCGTAATCCAAGGAAACTATTTGACCGATCCGTTGGACGTGGCCATCCTCGTGGAGGGAATTCGGATAGCCTTGTCCTTCGGCAATACCACAGCCATGGCGAAATATAATATGACGCTTAGTAACGTTCCATTGGCAGCGTGTTCGCAGTATCCGTTTCTGAGTAACGATTATTGGAGCTGCGCTGTACGCCAAGAGACGGGTCCAGAGAACCATCAGGCTGGTTCATGCAAAATGGGAGTGAGCAGAGATCGTATGGCTGTGGTAGATCCACAGCTTAAAGTTCACGGTATCAGAGGCTTACGGGTAGCCGACACGTCCATCATGCCACAGGTACGTAGATGATCCTTTCTTCCTTGACAGAGGATACACAGTGAACGATATTTTATTTCTCCTAATCAAGTACCTCGTTATCCAAAGATAAATCATGAACGCAGTTGATGGGAAATTTTCTGGTCGATAGGTGACATCCGGTAACACGGCCGCACCGGCGATAATGATCGGCGAGAGGGCAGCGGCGTTCATCAAATCGGACTGGGGCGTCATCCCGACACAATGGTACGGGCATGCCCATCCCCCCGTATGGAAAAACTCAGCCCCGTGGAAACGCTATTATTAGTCACTAGCAATTTGCCATGTTTCCTAGTTCCCGTTCCACGATCGACAACTCGCTGGATCTATTGCTATGGGGGATCAAATACATCGACTGGGACCAGGCTATCTGGTAGCGTACGAGATCCTCCAGAATCGATCTAGTCCGTGATACCAGCGGGTTTCTCCTCAACCGAGTTACAGCGCCGATATTTCTGGTAACGTTACCAAAGAGACGTTACGCTAAAGGAGGCTAAAGGTTCGCTTTCGTTCGCTCCTGCACACCAGCCTTTCTCTTCGATCGAGAGCCGATGGAGAACGTCGAGAATCAACGATTCCAGCGAGTTCAACTGTTGAAAATCCTATTTTAACTCTTACCTTCTTCGGTGAACCTTTTACTGTTCTGCCTTCCTCTTTCTTCGCGACACGATATTCCAGGATACGACATCACGAGAATTTCATTGAAGATCATACGGGTCTATCGATAGGCATTACCTCGAAATGTCGAAATGTCGTTTGGAAATGGATACGTTTATAGGAGATCGCGTTTGTAACATTGTTTCGTGTATTGTTTTCCCTGCCTCTATGGAAACGTAGACAAATGTCGCGTCGCTTAAAACGTTCGGCCAACCTACCGTTTAATAGTGTTGAAAGATTATGTTTGTTGAAGTTTGTACATACGTAGTTTATTTTACCCCTGTTGTCGATTGTACTGTTTCTCCTAATTCAGTGCTCGTATGCTTTCAAACAGTTGTATTAAACAATGTTATTTAAAAAAAAAAAAAAAATACAAACTTACGTCGTTCAGAAGAATGTTTAGATAATTTCAGTTTTCTCCCACTCTTGATTAATCTCAATTCTCGTACCACTGCTATGATGTTTCAAATGAAGCTTCGTGTTTCATTTTCGAGGCAATACATAAACGAGTGACCTAAATTACGATATACGTAAAGTATGATCGTGAACAAGAAGGTAGTAATTTTCATGATAAAAACACTCCGAACACCGAATCATCGCTCTTCCCTGTCGAAACAAGTTCGATATCTTTCCATACGGTTCATAAATATAATGAAACGTCAGATAGTGGTAATTTGCAAGAACAATTACGTTAACTACAGTACAAGCGTGTTCTTATCATTTTCGTATACATCGATTATAGAAAAGTAGAAGTATAAAAGAGAGCAGCAAACAGTAGGCAGTCAGTCAAGCAAAACAACGCTACCTGCTGTGTACGAGTCTTTAATAGAACCACACTTGGGTGCACTATGGTACGTTCAACATTTTGTCCATTTATTTTGTTATTTTTTAACAATTGTCGTGTGCGTTCAAATAACCCACGATTAAGGCGTTTAGAGTTAAAAAGTTTCAACTGTGTTGATTCGAGTTTGTAAGCAAAGAAAAACCCAGGTTTCAGTTTCAATAGAATTTCTATGGTTTCTCACACTAAACACTAATACCTTTCGTTACGCTTTATCGTAGAGTCTGTTTGACGCACCTGTGCCGCAAGCGCCCTGTTCTCACCCATTTGTGGGAGGACCTCAGCTTACGGATGTCTGCTCCGCGAGCAACGGAGTCCTGTTCCTGACTATATTCAACAGCCTATTGGTAACGAGCCCTAAAATTGGTGACCCATGTGAACGTATCGTGCCGGTTACTAAACCAGCTGCTGCTTACGATTTCATCGTCGTTGGTGGTAAGTTTCCGAATAGTTGTATTACCTACGAAAGGTAGACGAACTGTGAAATATCATATTGTTAATTTACGTTTCGTCGCGATAACGCAGCTGGAGCTGCCGGAGCCGCAGTGGCGGGAAGACTGAGCGAAGTTAAAGATTGGAAAGTTCTCCTCGTCGAAGCAGGTCCTGACGAACCGGCAGGAAGCGAAATACCCGGCAATCTTCAGCTCTATCTTGGTAACGCAAGCTTCTTTCAATTCGCGAAGGCAACAAGGACTTTGAACAAGATGGCTAAACGAAAGCGATACATTTGTGTTTTTTAAACAGGCGGTGAATTGGATTGGAAATATAAAACGACGAACGAGTCTTATGCCTGTCTGAGTAGCAATGGCAGCTGTGCTTGGCCTCGAGGTAAGAATCTTGGAGGAACCACGTTGCATCACGGAATGGCATATCATCGAGGACACCCGAAAGATTACGAAAGATGGGCTGAACTGGGTGTCAAAGGATGGTCCTGGGATGAGGTGCGATTATTTTTCTTCGCTTTTTATAAAATACGACTTATCAACACCAATCATGGTTAATTATTTGTCTCTCTAGGTCATACCGTTTTACCTAAAGTCAGAGGATAACGGAGAAATCGAACGAGTTGGCAGGAAACATCACAGAACCGGAGGACCGATGCACGTCGAGAGGTTTGTCAATTGATTTTAACATACCGACGATCACAATCATCGAAACGTATGAATCTTTTTGTCCTGACAGACTGCCTTATCAGCCTCCATTCACTACATCCATCTTGAACGCGGCTAACGAAACAGGCTACGGTGTAATCGAAGACTTAGCCGGGGATAAACCGACGGGTTTCACGGTAGCTCAAACGATCAGCAAAAACGGAGTAAGAGAGAGCAGTGTAGGATCATTTGTTAGACCGTACGCTCATCGATGGAATCTGCACGTAGCTATTAACGCGACCGTGACAAAAGTCAGGACGGTTGGAAAGCGTGCCACGGGTGTGGATCTCTTACTGGTACGAAGCCACGCGACAGCATCCTTTAACCAATGCTTTTTAATTAAATTCAATAACTCTTCTGTTCTCAGAATGGAAAAAAACATGTGGTCAATGCGAAACGAGAAGTGATTTTATCGGCTGGTACGATAAATTCGCCTCAATTGTTGTTGTTGTCTGGAATTGGACCAAAAAAACATCTGAAATCCATGAAGATTCCTGTGGTGCACGACCTACCAGGAGTGGGTGAAAATCTTCACAATCATCAGTCTTACGGAGTTGATTTCACCGTGAACGAGGAATATTATCCGCTATTGAATAAATCTACCGCTGAACAGTATGTTTACAATCAAACTGGACCTCTGGCCAGCACGGGTTTGGCACAGGTTACCGGAATGGTGGCATCCAGATTCACCACTCCGGACGATCCGGACCTGCAGATATTCTTTGCCGGTTATCAAGCCGTGTGCGATCCTGCACGAACCATCGCAGATTTGTCGACGTACGACAATCTGATGACCGTCAGGTTCTCGGCTGTCAATCTGCAGCCGACGAGCAGAGGTAAGGAGTAATTATATCTTTTGCGGCTGACATTCTCCTTCTTCGTGTACATAGCTGGGATCAATTCTTCTGGCCAACTTTCCACCTCGATTTCGTATTTTCGAAACTTTCTTCCGTAGGTCGCATCACTTTGAAGAACAAAAATCCACTGAGTCCACCTGTTATCTGGAGTAACGACATTGGAAACGATCACGACCTTAACATTATACTGGAAGGACTTCACGTTATCATGAAATTAGCCAACAGCTCGGCAATGCAAAAAGTTGGTCTAAAATTAAGGCACACGCAGATCGAAGCCTGTTCAAAGTACAAGCTGTACAGCGACGATTATTGGAGATGCGCCATTCGTTGGAATTCAAGACCGGAAAACCATCAGACCGGTTCATGTAGGATGGGCGCCGACTCGGATCCAATGGCAGTGGTGGATTCTCAATTGAGAGTTCGCGGTATCAAAGGGCTTAGAGTAGCCGATGCATCTGTTATTCCGCAAGTACGATTATCCTTCTTTCTACAACGATTATTGCTATTTCAATGAATTTCGTACTCTCGAATCTTGTGTTCTCTGTTTCACAGGTAGTCTCAGGTAATCCGGTTGCTTCGATCAATATGGTTGGTGAACGAGCAGCGGACTTCATTAAAAAAGACTGGAAACATTAAAACGACGCGTTAACATGAAACTATTATATATCATAACAATATTTTAATAAATTACAAGGCAGATAGTATTTAAACGTGATGATCCAGTTTTCTTTCAAATCGTGTTTCCCTTCCAGGAGTAGAACGTCCTAAACAATCCAAGTGTCTTAAGTTATTCTATAAACGGTGCTGACCGATTCGAGTCGAGATTTCCCCGTAGCATTGCGTCGCGTCGTCAACGGCGACGCTGCTTTTCTCGTCAGCCAGTGAAACTTGAAGACTTTAAGCTCCCGCGAGATTTCGCGAAGAATCTCCAAGTTTTCCTCTCCTCTGGCTTCGTGAACGAATATTTATCTTCGTCAAAGACCGTAAGCACGAGAGGGACAGAGATTCACCGGAAGGGTCGCGACCCCTGAGCAACGAAATTAATTTCATTGACTCTTTCTCGAAGCACAATAAGGCGCAATAACGCGGTTCAATTAAAATTAATAACGAGCCAGGCGGATGCATTCGAGATTGAAGAACGCTCGCGAAGAAAGGTCGCGATATTGTCTGGCACAGGATTGTTAAGATAAAAAACCGAGGAGGAAAAGGGAGAGAGGGTGGGAGTGAAACTGAGGAGGTCGCTTTGGTGGAACGAAGCAACCCAGGCCAAGTCGAGGGAACGATGGAAGAGTAGACCCACGGAGAGCTGCACTTGACCTCCTTGCAGTCTGCACACGCTTATACGCTTCACGCTCCACGCTTGTATGCCAAGAACGACCCTTCCTCCAACCTCGACCGTTTAAACTTTCCCGCGAGTAGACTCGTTCGATGATGACACACGCCTATCCACGCATAATCGAACACTCGAACAACATTTCTCCTAACGATTCAAACTCGTAACGCGAAATGCAACGTCATAACAAAGCGACTACTAGTTTTCGCAACGACAAAAGACGTGGCAGTAAAACTCACGATTTATCGTCAGCTAGAAACGTATTTTCAGTTTTATGATGCAATCTTCTCGATATCGAAAAGGTGCACACCTCGAGCAAATAAATCTCAACGTTATTAACCGCGAAATCGTATGGGAAAAGTCGATCGCGAGTGCGTTAATTTATACAAAATATGTATTCGGGGCAGCGAACAGTCGTTGAATTCTATTTCCCTGAGTATGAGCCTACTTTTACGTTCACTTTGAAAATGCCAATGGCGTGTTGCTGCGACCAGTTGAACGTTCACGGAATCTAAACGTTCGCCAAGGTAATTCGAACGTCCTCGTGATTATTCAACTCCGTATCGTTATCGATGCGATATCGAGCGTTTATTGCGCGAAGAACTGTCCACCGAGATCCTAATCGCAGCACGGAATTACATCTGTTATCTGTTTGGAGGAACGAGAAGCGAGCAACGATCGAACGAAACGCGTGGCAGCAGCGATTGAAACGCGATCCTTTTCCCCGGAAACGTGAATTAACGTTAAAACAATTACAGAAACGTTTTCAATTGCCGCGGTTCGGTTTGCACTCGTCGGGCTATCGTTTTCGCGAGTCCGGCTCGTGTTGCGAAAATTATTTCGTCGAACAATACGGCTGCTGCGTTGATACCTCCCCCGTATCGGAAACGGTCGCGGTTTAATAGAGATTCAATCAAATCGAAACGCGGGAATCGAGAGTGGCTCAAGTGCTAACTGCTTCATGGAAATTTCCTCCAATTTGCCATGAATTTCGCGCCAACATTTAATTACCTGTAGCCCCGTTACACGGAACATCGCACTTAATCCCTCTGGGGTTATCTGTTTAACCAGAAACGATGGATATATATTCGAAACAAAGTGAACACGCGACGCGTCATTTTTCCGCCCACTTCAAGCAACATTTCTCCGTTCCTCTTTATCCCCGGTTCCCGGCATCCCGGCTCCCGTACGACGTTGATAACATGAAAATTCTGCTATTGATTAATTATCGCACGAATCGCTGCACCCTGAAATTCTGAACGTTTCGATCGTTCGGTGTGATTGAAGCCGTAGTATTCGCCAGAGATTTAATTGAATTGGAACGCGTCGAGTCGGTCGAGTCAGTCGAGTCGATCGAGTCGATCGAACGGCGTTGAAGCGGCTCGTTGATTCGATCTTCGTTCACGGACCATCCGGATTTGAGTCGCGCTATCGATATTCCCGAATCTGTGGAAAGCCACTCGTGTTTTTTAATTGACAGGCGAGAATCGCGACTTCGTTTTTTTCCACGATAAAAGAAGCTATCGGCTATGTTTCTCAGTTCGATCACGTATCTTTGTATCAGGGAATACTGCGAGCGGCGTGCAAGATGAATGAGCATTAAACGTTACTATTTTTTTTTATTTTTTTTTTGTAGCTATTACTCTTTCGTTCATTTTCTGTTCACATATTTCCGTAGCAGGAAAAAATGGCTCTGATACTTTTGAGACAAATTGGAACGTTTTCCAAGGAAGGAGCACCGCGTAACCGTAGAAGGAGAACGGCAAACGGTTGAGCAGACGATGACATAAACAAATTATAAATAAAACATTGAACATCTCGGAGACGCGTGTAGGTGCACGATCCGTCGCGTCGCGTCGTCCTCTCGGTCGTCGTACTCGTTGTCGTCGTGCCAGCAGCGTAACGACCGCTTTGAATTTCATGAGGGTGCGAATGAATTCATGGTGGGATGGCGCGGTTTACCCCCGGGGACTCGACGACTTCAAACACTTCCCGTGAACCTCCCGTCAGTTTGTGAAAATTTCACGCTAGCCATGCGGTCGCGTCGTTCGGAAAGTAATAACAATCGTTCCTTGCTTGGTAAGGTTGGCCATTTTTAAAGGGAACTACAATAAAGCTAAGGTCATTGCGATACTTGAGAGGGGCGAACTTAATCATTGCACGGATAACCGAATACCCCTTTCTAATTAACCTTTTAACACGTTCGCTGCCACCCAGAAAATGTTAGGGATATACTGTGTGCCACTATATTCTAATTCCTACGGTAGGTAATTCCTACGGTAATTTGGACAGTAACGAGGAACGTGATAATAGTTTTTTAACATTAACGATACTGAAATTTAGTATTGATAACAGTGAACGCGTTAAAGTTGTAACCGTTCAAATTTTCGCGGTTACATACACTGCATGGAGTGGGGTAGGGCGCATGCGTGTTATCCCCTCCAAGTGTCGGATGAGCTTGGGACCTGCCGGTCGATAGATCGATGCGCACTCTAACCTCTCCGGGCGTCTAGACCACACGTGTTTTGAAAGAGGGATTTCGCATAGAGAAATACCGGACGTAACTTGAATCAAAGTGACATTCGACCACATAGCAAAACGGTTAGTGCTCGCGGTTATTGTTCGCGCTTCAAACTGACGAGTTGGTGATCGAAACTGTTTCATTGGATAAATTGGATATTTTCTCATGACGCGTCCTCCGCGCTGTGCATTCTACGAACAGGAATTAGAACTGAGCAAGGAGACTATTGTTGACTGGTCAAGTTTTTGCCGTGAGGTAAGTTACATTTTTTCTGATAATCTAACCTAATTTAATCTATGTAGGTTAATGACGCGTTTTAAAAGTATTGTCTACCCCACATTAACTTTTGAAAATAATGATTTTATGTCAATATTTGGCATTTGCTTTAATATCTTGGCTTTTTTTTAATCTTCTTGAAGTATTTAACGAGTAGAATCTAAAAATCCAAGTTTTAAGACACGGAATCCATCGGTTCAAAAGTTATGCGTGTGTAAAACTGAGCGTTTTTAGCGTATGTGACGTCACTTCGACGCCATATTGACTTGTAGCTTGTGTCGTCCAATGAGGGGAGTCGCCGTTGGTTTTTTTTTTTTAAAACAACACCAATCATATTACAGATAGAAATCAATATGGCGTCGAAATAACCTGTGAAATACGCTAAAAACGCCCACTTTTACAGACACATAACTTCTGAACCGATGGATTCCGCACCTTAAAACTTTGATTTCTAGATTCTACTTGTTAAATACTTCAAGAAGATAAAAAAAGGCCATCATTTTTGGGCCTCCGAAGTAAAGCTCAACAATATCTTAGTAAATACAAGCGACCCCCAAATTTTATCAACAGTTTTGGATTCGGGCGGCAAAAATACATAGAATTGGGGCCCTAATTGTAGACATTTACCATTTTCCTTTCCAAAACACCACCTTTACTCTTGTGTGTTGTGAATTACAGCAGAGCCGGAACCCACAGGATTCAACGCGTGCCTTCCTTCTTCTCCTGTAAGTACCTTCAAACCTATAGAACAAATTTCAAGCATTTCCACGTTACACGCTCGTTACGAGCGTAGTTTAACGGTCGTGCGTCGTTACTCCGAAAAGTGTTGCTGTAGCTAGAGCGAAGCCATAGCATCGGTAAAAACTAGAGTACTTCTATCGTTAGTTCTTCTAAATAATCTATAACCGATACGATCAACAAACTTTGCAATATTCTTCCGGCGAATTAGTAAGCGAGCTGCGCAAGCTGTATCGCCGATTATTCGATCTAATATTATCGTTAGTGATCGATCTAACACCGACAGAACCGAATATTCGACCGGGGACGTAGTCATAACATTTCTTAAATAAGTTGTTTCTTTACTAGATTTATCAGGTTCGACTAGTGAATCCGGTCCATCTAGGTGACGTCACGCGCACAGGTAATCTGTTGAAATCCCGAGGGGGTTGGTCGACGTAGCGCGCGCATAATGCGCTTTGTCGTGTTCTAGAGCTGCGACGCGTGTGTACCGACTTTGTTTAGCAGGGTGTTTTTGCGGATCAACGCGGCGCGAAACGCGAAGCGCGACAAGCGACGCGCATCGAGAACACGATCGTGCTCCACTCTGCAAATCTAAAGAACGCGGTTCGTTATTCTCGCGTGAACAAAAGCAGTTACAACAGCAGAAAAAGAAACGAACGAGAAAGTAAGAAGGGCGGAACGGGAGGGTTGAGTTGGACGGTTGGAAACCCGGTTAAAGAGAAGCTTGGTAGAAACAAACGCAAAGGCTCGCTTCTTTTCCCTTTTCCTTTTACCTTCCGTTCTCGTCTCTTGTCCTCGCACAGACGGATTCGAACCACCCACGTTGCTTGTCTTCGTACCGACGTCATCTCGAGTAATTGCGGTTGCATAGAACGTCGACGGAACGCGCAAATGCGCTTTGCAATTCGAACGACAGTCCCGACTGGCGAGATTTAAACGGCGTTTATCCGTTCTTCAACGACCACAGCTTCGAAGACGTTCCTCCAGTTGGCTCGACTGACAAAAGATTCGTTCGGTTAACGAACCTCTTGGAATTAATCGACAGTGACACGCTCGGATTGTAGAAAGCGTTCGCTTCTCTGTTTGTGATGTTATTTTTGCACTCGCCGCTACATTTTGCACGCCAAGTATGCGTTATCACTAGTACCCGTTTAACGTTTCGATAGCCCAGTCAAATTTACGAACTTTAAAACAACTAGAAGAAATAATAAATTCTTTTCTTTCATTTTCATACCGCAACATCAACACGCGTTCTATGCGATGTAATGTTGAACCACCAAGATATCACTGTTTCCAATGACTAATTCGAACCCTTGTAGTTCCCTCGTCGCGTTTAAACGCTCCGCGGCTCCCCAAGGGAGGAGCACACGCAGCTTTGAGCGTACACGTCGTTTCCCATTCACGGCACGATCGGGGTAATAATTTTTGACTTGGCGAAGCTCAATTTCATTTCTCCGGGAGAAAAAAGCGCAACACGGGCTAGGAACGTAAAAAATCAAGCGCTGAAAGTGCACCGTGCTAGCGGAATTAAGGACACCAAGTAATACAGGCGGATTATTAAAAACCGCGATAGGAAGAGCACACAAAAGCCTTGGGGGGGAAAAAAAGAAGGAAAGAAAGAAAAAGAAAATAGGGTCGAATGCAGCTGGCCGGTTTTAGTATTCCCAGAGCGGAGCGGTGGAAACGCGATAGGTAATTAACCTCGTTGCTGGCAGCCAGAACGTGCGAAGCTTCTTCTTTATTTTTTTACACACTCGCGAGTGTGTAAAACGCATACAAATACGATCTTGTTATCTCAAAATTGTTCAAACCGAGCAATTACACGCAAGAAACGTTACAGAGAACGACTAGTTTCGAGGGGATGGCTTTCTTAATTTCCAACCGCGTCGAAACTGTAAACCCTTGTGATTTGTCAGATGCCAGCAAGATTCTAAGTACCATTCGTCCGCGAGAAAATGGCATGGCTAAAATTTGTAGAGATCTATGCCCCATTACCCGATATCCCTACTTCGCGTCACAAGTATTTTCGTAATTGGTCAAATCGCTTACCGAATCGATGATTTCAAAGCAGTGGCATAGCCTCCAGAATCTATGGGTGGGAATTAAGCTAGATATTGAATAGGGTCAGCTGGAGCAAACGAAAATCCTCCATTGCCTCTCTCCTATACCTCCTCCTACTGACGATGACTACTAATGCTTCTATTTATTTACTATTTTGAGTTATTCGTTGGCAACGTTCATCTGGTTAAATTAAATTCGTAGTTACAATTGATTACAACGAAGCAAAATAAACTGGAAACGTCAAACATCCACCTGAACCTCCATGACAGAAAATAATACGAAGGGATCGTCCCTCTGATATTTTCCCCCGTACATTGTGGTTTCAGTGGTTCCGACGTGATCCTATTCGTCGCATAATTTTATCATCGTCGTTTTATGCCGTCGCTCTGTATATCCGAGCGTTGAAAAATTCTCCCAGCACACCGTTCGTAATGGCGGTTATTAAGAATAATGATTGCCGAGCGGAAAGCAACAGACTGGCGCGTGAATACATATTCATGAGAATAAGTGAATCGACCAATATCTTACCATATTCACCATCTCTCTCACTCTCTTTCGCTCTTTCTCTTCCCTTGAAAAGGTATACACAGCCGACCATTTCATAAGCGTACGTCGTCGTCGTCGTCGTCGTCGCCGTCGTTTATAGACCACGCCGGATCCTTTTAACTTTCCAACGATAAAAGCGAAACAAATCGCGACCCGCTTTTCGTCGCTCGCAAACGAAACTTTTCCCGTCGTCGTTCGATCTCGCTTTGACGTCGTTGCGTCCTATAAAACCAGAATTTCTTCTGTTTTCCCTCCTATCTGGACTCCTATACACTTTACAAGATCCCGCGATCTTTCGCGGTTGCGTCCACTTTGAAATCATCGACGTCGCTTGGTCTTTGGAAAAATGTTGATCTATTCGATTACCAGATTATCCGATGCGTTTCCATCGATTCCGATATTCAACCAACGCGCTACGATTAAATCTCTTCGATATAGGTAAATTTCTTTTAGACTCGAGGCTGTTTCGGAACGGGTGAATTTTGAAAGAGAACGCATCCGCGGCCACGTGAATGGAAAAACATTGCAACAATGGTATATAGCTGTTGTACATAATACGAGAAATTAGCAGTCCAGATAATGGAATAATCGACCGCGATCTTAGTTTCTCGTTTAACGGTTCAAACGAGCGAATCGCGTGCCGCGAGATATTCGCGTGGTGGACTACTTCCTGTGCTCGCCGCTAGAGGGACATCCGCAACAACTTTCTCGCAAGTTCTAACTCGACTATCCGCTACTCGGATATCTATAAAGAATGTTTTATGCAATTGCTGGAAATAGAAACAAAATGTCAGTAGGTGAAACTGAATGGCATCGAACAAGCTGTCCCGTTTAAGTACCACCGCGAAAGATCAAGGCTGTTCAAGATTGTGTATCTATCCATCATCTTTAGACTGCAATCTACTATTCTATATCCAACGATCTTCTACGTAGACTTACTTCCGAGTCCAGCAGTAAGTTCTGGACGAAATACTCCTTCCTTCTCCCCTTTCATTTCAACCTCATCCTCCCCGTTCTACAGTACAACTGCCGGACTCGCGAAACATTCCTGCGACTTCATCCGGTTGATCGGTAACTTTCCTCCTCTCTTTGAATCCAAGAATCCTTTGAAGCTATTACGCAGATGTACCAGAAAGGTTGGCCGCTCGAAACAAACGAAACACTCGAACTATCCTTCGAAATTCTATTCTAAGCAGAATAGCTCTGGGAATCGGAGAGAATTATCGCGGTAGCGAAAGTAGGAGGGTAGGGTAAATGGAAGGATAAGACTCGGATAATTGGCTGCATCGGTTCGAAGAGGTCAAAATAAATCGGTGCGGACGCGAAATGGAGGGCTGCGGGGGAGGTCAGGGCTCGTTGGAAAGACGAGCGAGCAGCGGTAGTAGAGGAGTAGTAACCTAGTCGGGAATCGCGCGCGCATCGATCCCTTCCGCTCGATTAAGCCGAGCGATGATCGTGATTGGATCTAGCAGGAAGCCGGGTAGAATCAATTATCCTTACGAGATTCAGAGAGGTTGGAAGATTCGCTTGGATCGAATCGAAATCGTCCCGAACGCGACCAGATCGACGATTAAGATCTCGAGCAGCCATCCTACTCACTTGGTTTATTGTTTTTCCGTCCCAACTCGTCTACGTTTCTCTCCTCCGCGCTCCGAACGAGGGAAAATGAGAAGCTGTCTCTCTTTTTCTTTGTCTTCGTTCAGTGGTCTGGAGCTTTTTTTACGCCGTGGGATTTACGCGTGCAGCTTTATTTATTCACGCTTTAATTACCGTCCCGAGGCATCCCGTGGCTCCCCGTCGCGGAGCTTTGCCGTCCGGGCACGTGGATGCACTCCGAAACGAGAAACTTCAGGGTGGCAGCTAGATTAATGGGGCTTGGTTAGCGTTCTTCACCCTCTCGCGTGAGAAATTCGTCCGGTATACACATATTCGAAAAGAAGAAGAAGAAAAAAAAAAGAAAAGAATAGACGGGACAGAGTCGAGGGATATGATAAAAGTAACAGGGACGAGTGTAACGTCATTATTCATCGGGAGCTTGGTGTTTTCTACGTTGTCTCGAAATGACGTTAGCCAGGGCTTTTCAGGCTCTTCTTTGTTCCAGAAACAAACGGTCGACCCGTGAAATACTTGACTCCATTTTATCCCTCTTTATGACCCCGATTTCAGCCTTCCTACAAGTCGCTTCGAGAAATTCCCTCCAAAATTTTATTGTTCAACGAAATTGCCTTCCACGAACCTTCTTTTACCCCCATCCACCCGCCACTCCCGGCGACGAATTCGATAAGGTTTCCGCTGATATTTCGGAGCCAACAATATAGACGCGATCATGATACTTCTTATGGTGGTGCCTTATGAACCTGTGCTTCGTCTAGAATTT